AAAATAGAAAACTAAAAATATGAATAGTCAAGAAGAATAATAATTATTAACTAACTAAGAAGAAACTGTTATAAGAAGAAAATAAAATAAAGGTTAAATATTATAACTATTAGAATAATAAAAACAGTTAGAAAACAAAGCTAATAAAATATTTAGACTACTAGAAGGTTATGTTTAAGAAAACAGTTGTATTATAAAGAAAGATATGAAAAAAAAATATATAAAAGAGCCCAGATATCAATAATTTTAAGTTTCAAGATATATATATATATATTTTTTTTAAACCGCAACTGGTATTAGATGCGATCTCTTTTATTAAGAATTAACTTAACATTATAGATAATGAAATCCTGGGCATCACATCAATCATCTTATACAAACTATATATTTTCTATATACATGCAGATTAATGATAACCTATCGTGGTTTTCTCTAAGTAGACCCACTAACTACTCTGTAAGTGGAGCAGATCCAGCTAGGGGTCGGACAGTTAATACACAGTTATCGACAGTGAAACAGGTTAATTTTAGTATTGAGCTTTTATAAATTTTTAATTATATTCACTAAACTAGTCTATATAGTATGTATCTGATGGGATTTAATTTACCTTCCAATACTCCCAGATATTATTTGCTCAAACCTTAGAAGGGGGCACTTTACCTTTTTTGTCACCACCTGTGGCATCGGATCAGTTCCATTTTACTGATTTTCATTTAAGTGAAGTACTATATTGGGATATCCTAAGCTAAAAGAGCAAGGGTCCTGGAGACTGCCAGGGCAGGTGGTCTTGTGAAGCGTTTATGGTGGATTAGATCAGAAGCCTTTCTTTATGCAATCCTTTCAATAGTATGACCATAGATCTCAGCCCTTGATCGATAGAAGGCCAGAAGTCCCATCTTCATGCAGCCTAACCTGATTAAAGCTTGTTCCGGATGATTGGATATGACTTTCACAGGATAACTGGTAAACCTGATCAGAAGGGTAATTTTGATTTTTGGTCCTTAAGTAGTATTGAACTACAGACCTTGTAATTGCGACCTGGAAGCACTACCACTGTGCTATTGACCCACTGGTCTAAAAAAAAAAATGATATAAATTATATAGTAAATAATGTCAAATAATATAATAGAAATTGACTGATAATTTATTTATGACAAATTATATTGTTACAGAATATGTGAGTAACACAATTTATGCATAATGGTCTAGAATTCAAAAACCTGAAAGTCTGGTATAAAAAAGTAAGTGTCACAAGGTAAGAAACTATAAATAAGACTCAAATACTTATAAGGAAACTATATATACCTGACAAAGTATGAAAAGTTTAGCAAAGTTTAGAATTAGCATAGCCGATTATAAAGTAGATAACCCATTGTTAATTAGAAAAGTATAAATAGTTTACCAATATATGTCAAAAAGGCAGAGCTGAATATATTAGAAAACAACGCTCATTAAGAATAAAAAGAAGAATTAGTGATATACCAAAGAAATAGAACGTAATAAAGAGATTCTTACCTTCAGCCAAGTCAATCACCATGTCTCTGCTTTCCCTAAGTATTCTTTATAAGAGATGTTCTTTTATTTGTGTTGTTTATAAATATTTGTAAGTTATTTGGATTACATGAGGCACTACAGATTAGTGACAAACTTGTCAGGTTAGCTCATAATAATATAGTAAAAATTGATTGATGATTTATTTATATTATTAATATGTGAATTATTTATTTTTTAATAAATATTACACAAGTGATATTATACTAAATAAATATTTTTTGACTAATGCAATATAATTAGTTATTATATAAAAGTTTATATAATATTGAAAATATTTATTTAATATTTTATAAAAATATATTATTATAATAAATATAATTGCAAGTTAAAAAAAAAATTAAATTAATATTATATAAATAAAATAATTATTGTATAAAAAATTTGATAATTAATAAAAAATGAATTTTTATTTTTGTTAAATCAATTATTATACTTTTACTTTTTAAAATATTTTATTTTTTTATTATAGAATTTATATAGTGATTATAATTATATAAACTATTAAAAATTAAAAACAAACTTATTTTAGTCTTTAATATTTAGATAAATAGTTTTTCGATAACAAGTAAATTAGTATATAAAAGTTATAATAATTTATAAATATTTAGTATATATATAATAAAGATATGCCATACTAATTTGACTGTGGGTTAAAAAAAAAATAATTTAGTCTTTAACAATATATACTTAAAACAAAATAAGAATATTAATAAATTTTCAAGAAAAAAAGATTATTATAATACTATATATCTGATACTACTTATTTTTTTTTTAAACCCATGGTTAGGCCAGTACTGTGTATTTATTAATCAATATAAAAACTAATAGAAATACATAGGATAATTAGTTCACTTATTAATAGCTTTCAATTTTCAAAAGAGTTTTAGTCTTTAAGTATAACCTTATAACAATATTTTGTTTCATAGTAGATTTTGAATAAATATTCTCCTAATTTACACATTATTGCTAGCATATTATCACTGCTTATTATTCTCCAAGAAACTGATTTCAAAAATCTACAAAAAAAAAAAAGAAAAAAATATATTTAAAAATTCATAATTACATTATATAAAAATAAAAATAAAAAATAAAAGCACTCCATATTCTCTAAAGGATTTCTGCTAGAAATTTCTTTTATTACAAGTTAACTCTCTGGAATATTCTTCTTTTTTCTGACTATTTGAGGAATTTATTTATCCATAATCTTAATTATTTTTTGTGACTATTTGAGGTACTTATCACCTACTCAGATTCAATATTTTATTCAATATTTCATTTCTTTTGATCTTGATTTTGTATTCATCTATATAGAACAAAATAACTAATGGTAGATCCCAAGTTTTTATGTAATTTTTCAGTCTTGTTGTGTAACTTCTGATATCTTCCAACAGCCATGCCTAATTAAAAAAATTTTATTGATATTTATTTTGATTGCGATATTATTATACAATATCTGAAAAAATGTATTCTTAATTCTAAAGAAGAGTAGTATTTTATATTTTTTTGCTTTTCCGTCTTACAGCCAGATCTGAATAAGAAAATAATCTCCATTACATACTTTGTTTGACTAGGATAATAAGAAGTTGAAGATCTCAATTTGAACAAATAATCATCTTTTTATCACTTAAGGAATTTAGTGCTTATCCTAATAGCCTCATGATTTCTTTGCTTCAGTTACACTTCATTTGAAGAAGTGGAGAAGTTCATCCTAGTGATTTCTCTTTCTTTTATCAATGATATCATCATAACATGTAATATAACTAGTAGGAGTTTGTTTATATTTTACTACCAACATGTTTCACATTGATCAATCATCTTTAGCAAAAGCTATGCCGATTTTGTGTTACTTCAAAATTCAGGATCAAGTTAAGGTAGGTAAAATTCCCTAAAAAAACTAAAAAATAAGTGACTCTAAGAAAGTAGAAACAGTGGAAAGGAAAGTTTTATAATTTAGGCTTTTGTTCTCCTATTTATTCATTGCATAAAATCTTTAGTTGCACTTTTTCTTTAGAAGATAGACTTTCAGTATTTCACTATTGATTTTTCTCTTTTAGAATTTTCTTGTCATAGATAAAAAAGATGTTTTTTGATTTTTCTTGATTACCGGAAATAAAGTTTTTATTTGAAAAGGAATATAAATAAGAGAGAGAAGTTGGAAGGAACTCTTGAAGTTATCCTTCAAGTTGTTTTAAAGAAAGTAATAGGACTTTATGAGCAGAAAAGCATAAAGCTTTTTTGTGAATGTTTTTTTGTGTATTGTTAAGGGATCAGTAAAAAGAATTTTTTTTTATATCTGATACTACTTATTCTTTAAACTTGTTGTAATAAAAAAATATGAAGTTTTCAATTAAAGAATTTTTTTAAAATATTTTTATTACTCGAAATAGTTAAAATTATATTTGTATTTTTGACTCCAAACTAATTTTCAAGCTAATATAAAGATCAAAGAAAAATAAACTGAATAAAAGATATTTTATAATATATTTATAAGATATGTTTAATGTAGAAAAAATTATTTATATATAAAGTATATTAAATAATAAAATATAAATATCATATTATTTTCGTTTTTAATATTTTTTAGAATAACCAGCGCAGTGACAAAGCTTCTCAAGATTAAAAAGCCAACAAACATTTGATTATGCAGTATAAATTTTTCTCGAATTTGCATATTTTCTGTCAAGTCATTCCCGTTCCGAAATTTTGTTCATTCATATATAGTCATAACATGATTTTGCTGAACATGTTTGCGCGTACCGTATTTATTAATGGGAATAAGTGAACTTACTCGCATACTGTAGTATTCATGTTATGTAGCATTAGAAGAAAAATTTAGGGTGTAGGATAAAGGATTGTAATCGAATTTCAATAGTCAAGAAATCAATACAAAGGCGAACCCAAACCAGACGTTCTTAATCACTTCCTACTCTTTCAATTTTATAATTCTTAATATTACAGGAGGTAAATAACAAAAACGATGTGAATATAATACGAAAAAGGAATAACTAAGAAAAAAGACCAAGTTCGCGCATAGCGGACGATAAACGCTTATAATCTGACAGAAGTTCTATTTGATTTTTAAGGAAAAAAATTTTCTCAACGCTAATTTTCTTAAACTTAAAATAGAGGACTTATACTGACCTGGTACATCTGACACACGAAATTCCTCTATCGGACAATCTATGAACTTTTTGAGCGGAGGCGCTATCTTAACGTTACTTGTCGTCCGTTTGTTTTCCTACAGAGATTGTGAAAGAATTCGTAATTGATATAAGAAAAATTACCAAAACTTTGGATTATGACCTTACCTCGGAACGACTTCGGTCCGATGAAAAACGTGATAGCACGTTATAAGGAAGTAATCGCTCTGTCCTGTTTATGAACGAGGCATAATTGCTCGGTGAATTTATGACCAAGAGCATTAACAAAAATATAATTCATATCGCTTACAGAGATTTAGATTCATCGATCTGCATATTTTTATTTGTTATGTCCCCATCTGTACCATTTTCCGTATTGAATTTACCGGAGTTAAACTCTGCCAATTCTCTTACTATTATTTCTGTTGGTATTTCGGAATTCATCACTATATCATTGATTTTGGTCTTTGTCAGATGATGATCTTGGTGTGCTGTCAAATTTTCCTTGGTTTTTTCCGCTGCGAATGTAGAAGGGTTACTGGTATTTGCACTTTCATTATATCCAAATACTCGACCAATCATTTTATAAGAAGTATCCATGACTCCTGTAATAGCTTTAATTCCGCTGTCGGCCACTCCGACAATTTCTTGCCCAACACGACTCACATTCCGCTCTAGTGTAACCTTTGTACCTCCGGCTGACATGGGTTCACTATGGTTTATAAAAGAAAACATGTCAATTCACATTTAAAATTATAGAACAAAATATATTCACCGTGAAATCCAGAAAAAAAAAACATAACACACACATTTTGAAGAGGTTCAGATAATAACGCACCTCAACACCTTATTTGGAGATAAGCCCAAAGCTTCGTAGTCCACATTTTCCAAGAATGTGATAACAGCTAACTGATATATCATGCAAGTTCAAATTAGAAAGAATAAATAACAAGAATTGCATGACGTAAAAGAAATACAAAAGATAGATATATATATCGTACAAAGTTGGTGAGACAGTATTCTGACTCGCTACGTAGTAAATATGATACTCGATATCGTTGAATAAATCTATATTTAAGGTAAATAATAAAAGTAAAGGCATTATGGCAACAATAAAAGCAAGAATTTTTATCGATAGATATTTTCGTAATTGAAATTTACCTTAAATTCGAAACCAGCTTTTTTGGATTAGACTTCACCGCAATAAATATTAAGAGGGGCAAAATCACGTCAGCATTAGGGTCATGTTTTTCTTCTGACGGAGTGGAAACACTTGTTCCATTTGGTGTTGTGGGAGAATCCGGTAAGGGAATCGAGGCTGGCGACGTCGGGCTCGTAACAGTGGATTTTGATTTGACGTGGGTGTTAAGATTACTGGAATTTGATTTCTCCTCGTTGTCCGTATTAACATTCGGTTTAACAACACTCAATGATCTTTTTTCGAGGGCTTCTTTTATTTTTAAAGAGAATATGTCCAAAAATGATTCTTAAAATTATATTAAAAAAGATTGACAATCACTTACCGACAATGACTTTGTGACATCGTATAATACTATCGAGCTTCTCAAATGGCGCTTTCTTTTGTTCCAAACTTTGCAATTCCACACCTGCTACCTGTACTGCCAAATTTACGCGCTCTTGATGGTGCGGATCAATATTGACCCCTAGTTTTGAAAGATTTAACTCTAGGATATTCAAAGCAGCTATCTGTGATCCTAGATTTTCATCTTGCAAATCGTCGTCCGACCATTTCGGGCAGAATAGACTTTGAGGATGTGCATTTTTGACTACATGTTAACACTCACACCGACACACTTCATTAAGACAAATATTCGAAAAAGACTTACTGCTCATAAAGTGATGTGCACAACAATTTTTCCACAACGTTCATGGATTCATCGATTTCATCTTCACTAGCCTCTGCCAATTCTTCAGACACTTTAAGTTGGGATTCAAAATGATGGCGAACATTTTCATATAACCTTTGAATTTCTTTATTCGATGAATCTTCATCTTGGGGGGGCTTTTTTTGGAAATTTTCTATGAAACTAAATGGTGAAATTATCCAAATGAATACAAGATGCGCTTCAACTATAATATTCCTGATGGCTTAAATCATCACCTGTGGATTTCCTTTAATAGAGATTCCGATAGTTCCGCTCCTTCGACATCTTTCCCATTTTCTGTTTTGATCACAATACGTTCCGCTATTTCTTTTGCAATTACGGGGGATTCGATCACAATTGTTTGAATGGTCATTCCGTGTAAAAGCATATCAGCGTTTTTACAGAGAATTTTAATCGGTAAAGATTTGTGAGAAAAATCTGCAGGTTTGGAGAAAGTTTCAAAAATAGACCTGAAATACAGACGTGGAAAAATTAGTAACCATCATGGTACTCCAACAGAACCATTTTTATGACGGAATTCCGACTAACTTGCGATTTCTTTGGCTCTCCGTTATGGAGGCCATAATATCCTTCTCTGATGATATCAGACCTATCGCCTTGAAAGTGTCCCTGCTCAATAAAAATGAATTAGACTACTTCTTGCTCAACTCTTGAGGCTCATCGAATCCACCCACTTACTTTTGAATAAATCCCATCAATCCATTTAAGGACAACACTTTGATATCCTCGTCAGTCGGTTGAGTGACTATCACATGATCTTGGAGAAGCAACCGATCCACATTTTCAGATGGAGTTATCACGGACGCAGGAAGCAGAAGCGTCGCCTAGGAACGGATCATGCACATCAATTTCACAACACTTGGATAAAATATGAATGAATGCACAAAAATAATTTGCACGTATTATTTACTCTTTTCGCTATCAACAGTCGAACAATATCCGAAAATTCGTCATTCATTTCACGAAGCTTTGCCAATATCAACCCTCCAAGTGAATCTCCAGCTACAAGATGCGAAGGTGAAATTTTTGGCTGCAAAGAAGACATTGAAGAAGTTGAAGAGGAAGAGGGGGAGCGTCTGCTGCGTTGACTTGACGATAATGATTCAATTTCTTCTTCATCAATATTCTGTAAAGGATGGTTCGCGAGTGAATCGGTACTTATGGTTGACAGTGAACGGCGGAAAACTGTCTGAGGCGATATAGCGGTGACTGGAGAAGTTTGCTCCGAAACACATTCTTTATTTTCTAAGTTTACTCTCGACTGATTTTCCATAACCAACCCTCGTCAAAATTCTAACCCTACTTATAAAGGAAACTTCTAAGAAGCGCTTACTGAACGGTGACTCTCAAAGGTGACAGTAAATGTGTATCAAGGAATTTTGATTTGGTGCTTCGAACATTTACTTTGTTCCTAGACGCCTATAAATTAATCTATTTCTAGACTTTATGTGTAGAATTATGTCCTTTGAATGAGATTCTATAAGAAAAAGCCATCGGCAAACGTATTATGCGTAGTATATTTAACAAGTTTTTGGTTATACGGTGATAGGCGGAAATTCAAGTGTAACTCTGCTGACTCCTGGCTTAGACACTTACTTTTAAGTTCATTAGCTAACCTCCAAAACCGTTTTTATATGCTGTACCCGCAGCCATTAATCAAATCTAATGGATTTTGGACAAAATTCAATTCATTTATCATTATCAGCAGGTTGTTTACTGTCATATGTCCTATCAAGTCACTAGAATATAGAAAATTACAAAAAAATAAGTTGAAATAAAGAATATAAAATATATGAATATATTAAAAAAAATAAAATTTTTTGCAACTTTTTTCAAAAGATCTATTTTTCAAAAAAAATTTTTAATAAGAAATGTTTTATCGAAATATTCTTTCTTCTTCTAATTATCTAAGGAACTTATTTATTCTTGATCTTGATTTCTTTCTCATGTATTGTTTGAGAAGATTTATTATTTATTAAAAATTTTTATTTTTAGAGATATTGTACACTAATCAAAAAAAAATTATTTGATATACTGCCACTTATATAACATTCAGCAAAAAAATGACATAAATAAATCAGTAACTATATAATTTGACTAATAAATATTATAAAATTGTTATATTCATAATTTATTAATGATTTATCAAAAAATTAATTAACAATTTATCAAATAATTCATTAATTATTTAGTAATAGTAATAATTTATTAACAATTCAATAAAAATTTATTATAAAATTATTTATTATCAATTCAATAAAAATTTGATATTAATTTATAAATAATTTGATAAAATTTGTTAATATTTATTAATAATTCAACAATTATTTATCAAAACTATTCATTAAAAATTCATTAAAATTTATTAAAATTTTAGCAACTATTTATTAAAAATTCATTAATTATTCATTAAAACTATTCATTAAAAATTCAACAATTATTTATCAACAATAAAGTAAAAAAAATTGATAAAATTATGCATTAATTTTTTTAAATTATAATTATATTTATAAATTATAAATAATATAAATTATAATATATAATTTATATTATTATTATTTTTTTTTTGTATACCCATAGCCAGGCTAGATCATTAATTTATTAATCAAATGAAGACAAAAGTACATTTTCATTCGAGCAGCATGATACATACTATAGCTAAACTATTATTCTA